CTTGGTCCTCATTGTCTCCTTCAGCAAAGGTGTTCACTTTACAATGGAATCTGCCAAATAATTACCAGTGCAAAGAGAAGAGCAATAATAGCATGGGACTTAGTCTTTCTTTCTTTCTTTCTTTCTTTCTTTCTTTCTTTCTTTCTTTCTTTCTTTCTTTCTTTCTTTCTTTCGTTCTTTCTAGACCACTTCTTAGGCAAAAATGCCTCTCAAAGCAGTTTACAACTGTATGAAATACTAAATCATATAATCCATCAATAAAACCATAAAAGAGAACTGTTAAAATAGCATTAAAAGTCAAGCTCAGGGACAGGTGTATCTTTGTGTACTGCCCTACTGTAAGTGAAATGCCACCAAATTTAGTAGCTTTATAAAAGGGTTGTTGAGGGCATAAGACTAAATGAATTGGGATCCAAATACCTGACAGAGTGCCTTTCCCTATACTAGCTTGCATGTCCTAAGACTGACCTTATTGACGTTCTAAGTATTGCTGGGACTTGTACATTATGTGGAAAAGGGCCTTCTCTGTGGTGGCACTCTCTTCATGGAAATACATTTGGCGGCGCTCTTTTGCTCGTTTGCTTTAGGGCTATTTTTTTAAAATCATCATGAAAATTCATCAGCATTTTAGTGCAAATCTGTCCTAATGCTCACATTTTTATATGCCATTTCCCCTAACATAGGCATTTCTGCAAAGAAAATTCAACAATATAATGCATTTTTATGTTGTCGTTTTTACTAATATATGAATTTTTATGTACATTTTATCTAAATGTATGCATTTTTGTAAACATTACTTGACTGTAAACCGGCATTGCAACATTTACTGAAGTGCAAATTTGGAAGGATGGCTGCGTTTCCATTCGTGTACTGTTTTGAAATGTGTAAATTAGGTAGGTTCTCCTTTGATATGCAAACTGGCTTGCATTTCTCTCCCATCCTCACTTGAAATCGATAAGAAAAGCACTCAGGGCCCAGAGGCATTTTACAGAAATTAAGATGGTTGTGGCGGTAACCACTTTGCCAAGTGTTTTTCTGATCCAAGCCCTAAAAACAATGTGTGTGTATGTATGTGTATCTCCAAGAAACCAAAGGGATATAGTGTCAGTCAGCCCATCATGCTATGTAATGGTGCCAGACCTGATATCAGGCCTGATATCAAGCTACTACTTTGTATACTGCTTGATTGTAGAAAAACCTTCAAAGCAGTTTACAAAAAAGATTTAAAAAATAGAATGATCACTAAAAAAATTATAACCATAATTTAAAACATACATAAAGTTAAATCCACAATAGACTAAAGCAAATTTGTTGGCACAATGTGTATGTGTATATGTATATGTATATGTATATGTATATGTATATGTATATGTATGTGTATTCATTCATTCATTCATTCATTCTATTAATAGGAAAGACTGGAAAATCAAACAATGTAGCAGTTTCACAATCTACAGTTGCATTTTTAATCCTCTCCTTACCTTTTCATGAACCTGCATATTTATATTATGTAACTTTTCATTTTATTTGTGGTCGGTGGACTGTAAATAAATTATATTTGATTCAATTTGAATACACAAGACTGAATGAAAATTAACCCTGGCTTACAAAAGAAAATCAAACTTTGAAAAATTATCCTTCTTTTAGTAACTCAAGCATTTTAGGCACCCCCAAAGGTTGAAGCTTGCGATCAGTTTTTGAAATCCTTTTGCTTATATGGCAAAAACTGTAGTAAGCAAAAGCATGGGTGAAAAAGGCATTGTACATTTTCTGTTTTAGATTTTAAACAAAACAAATCTTTTAGGCTTATTTATGCATACATTTAAGTATTTGGTCTACCTATTTATAGGCCACCCGCATGACTACCAAGGCGGCATCTTTTTCAAAGGTGGTGGACAATTTCTGTTAGGAAGAAAGTTTGGTTCTTTATATTGCAGCTGATGGGAGATGCTATGAGTTCACTGCATATGCAGGCTCGTGAATACCCCACTGCAATGGAACCAGTTGCCTTATACATTCACTTATGAGTGCTCAATTACACAATGGGTTGAACGTGTCCAATTCAAAACTCTAAAAAGAACCCACCATCTCTGAAATAAGCCAGGGGGGGGAAATCATGCCGTTTGAGGCTAAAATATTTATATCCACACAGGATTCCTTCCTGCAGGTTCTGATAATTGTCACTAGCTTAGATCGCTTTCATTTACTTTAATTAAAACAAAACCATGTTTTTGCTCCCAAATGAACTTCATAGTTGTTGACCATAGTCAACTAACAGTAATAAGAAGAAGACAAAATGCCATAAAATATGACAGAAATTAAGAACAATAGCGGTTGTAAGGACAATCAAAAGATGCCCGATAAAAGAATATGGCAAAAGGCCATTAATGGGATAGCAAAGCTGGCTTTCCTTGAGACAGAGTTCTGAAGTTTGAGCACAGCAATTAAAAAGGTCTTGTCCTTGGTCCTAACCAGATGCATTTCAGATAGCAAGTTGACCAATCCTTTCTTTCAAATGATTGGAGAAACTTTATTTACTCATAGGTAGAATAACTCATCTTAAAAAGCAGAGACATCACCTTGCCAGCAAAGGTCCGTATAGTTAAAGCTATGGTTTTCCCAGTAGTGATGTATGGAAGTGAGAACTGGACCATAAAGAAGGCTGATCGCCAAAGAATTGATGCTTTTGAATTATGGTGCTGGAGGAGACTCTTGAGAGTCCCATGGACTGCAAGAAGATCAAACCAATCCATTCTTAAGGAAATCAGCCCTGAGTGCTCACTGGAAGGACAGATCGTGAAGCGGAGGCTCCAATACTTTGGCCACCTCACGAGAAGAGAAGACTCCCTGGAAAAGACCCTGATGTTGGGAAAGATTGAGGGCACAAGGAGAAGGGGACGACAGAAGATGAGATGGTTGGACAGTGTTCTCGAAGCTACCAGCATGATTTTGACCAAACTGTGGGAGGCAGTGGAAGACAGGAGTGCCTGGTGTGCTCTGGTCCATGGGGTCACGAAGAGTCGGACACAACTAAACGACTAAACAACAACAACAGAATAACTCAATGGTGTTTTCATGTTCAGAAACAGAGCACCTTTTGTACCAGATGCTGAGGACAAAAACAGAGTGGTCTTCTTGTGAGTTTCTGAATAACATCTTGCTGTAGAAGCTGAGCTGCAGTCAGTTGAAATCAGAAGGGCATGGCAGTGGCTTTCAGCTGCCCTCCTTCCACCTTTGTTGCTGCTGCTTGTAGAGGAGTAGAGATGAGGCATAAGTGAAGTCGGTGTAGTGCAAATGCACTGGCGGACCCAATCCTGTGCTCATGCCAGTGCATTTATACCATGGTGAACTTGCCACTGCTCTCTACCTCCTGGAAAGTAGCAGTAACAGAGGCAATGGAAAGAAAGGTGTGTGCCATCGCCCCACTTTCTCACCCACTGCTGGCTGCAATGCTATACCCAAATACCTGGGTGTAAGCCCCACTGAATTGTTAATGCCGGACTAGAGAGACCTTCCTCTGATCCTCAAGACTGTTCATTTGACATAGGCATAGATGTTAAAGTAAATTGTCATATTGGTTTTGTCCTTTGAGACAATGGGACTTTCCTTAAGTAACATAAATTTAGGATTTTACTACATTTTGTTGATTCAAGACATCTGACTGAAGCAGTTTAACAGCACAATCCCATGCATGCCTACCCAGTAGTAAGTCCCACTGACTTCAATGGGGCTTTCTTCAGCATTAAGTGTGCATAGGATTGCAGTCTGTTAAATACAGCTGCAGATAACTAAAGCAAAAAATAACAGATAGAAAGTAGGAGCAGTAACTTCATCTACTGAAGGATTTAATACCCATTTTTGTTGCCAGACAGTTCTCTATTGATTTTAGCTCATCAAGTATGGTGGGCAGTTCCAACCTCTTCCATTGTGAAAGGCCAGTAGACAATTGATATAACACACTAAACATAATTGGGAAGGCTAGAGAGACAGACAGACAGACAGACAGAGAGAGAGAGAGAGAACTTGATTGTAGAATCAATGAAAATTAATTAAATACAAAGCAATATGCTCATCTTATCTAGTCTCCGTTTTTTAAAAAGGATTGCAACCATTTCTGCAGGCCTTAGTCAACCCACCAGCAATCCATTGAGTATTAATCTGCAAAAGTAACTCAGCTGGGTAGCAAAATGCTTTGAACCAACAGCTTCATGCTTTATAAGCAATGGAAACTGACAGGCACACTACCCTTTAGGTAGAAAACAGACTACATGTTGATGTGTTCTCATGTGTTGTAAAGGGTAAAGGGACCCCTGACCATTAGGTCCAGTCGTGACCGACTCTGGAGTTGCGGCGCTCATCTCGCTTTATTGGCCGAGGGAGCCGGCGTACAGCTTCCGGGTGATGTGGCCAGTATGACTAAACTGCTTCTGGCAAACCAGAGCAGTGCATGGAAACACCGTTTACCTTCCCGCCAGAAATAGGAAACACCTATTTATCTACTTGCACTTTGACGTGCTTTCGAACTGCTAGGTTGGCAGGAGCTGGGACCGAGCAACGGGAGCTCACTCCATCGCAGGGATTCGAACTGCCGACCTTCTGATCGGCAAGTCCTAGGCTCTGTGGTTTAACCCACAGCACCACCTGTGTTGTATATCTTCTTAAATATGAGTTTTCTTTATATATCAGTTATTATTATAATCATAGAATTGTAGAGTTGGAAGGGATCCTGCAGATCATCTAGTCCAGGAGTGGCCAACTCCCAAGAGACTGCAATCTACTCACAGAGTTAAAAACTGGCAGTGATCTACCCCCTTTTGGGGGGTTCAGGTCAAAGTTGTTGAACTTTTTGTGGGGAGGCAAAGTTGTTGAGCTTCTTTGGAGGGAGTCAGTGATCTACCAGTGATCTACCACAGATGTCCAGTGATCTACTGGTAGATCATGATCTACCTATTGGATGTGCCTGATCTAGTCCAAACCCCTGCAGTGCATGAATATGCAGTTGTCCCTTACAAGGCTCAAACCTGCAACCTTGGTGTTATTAGCACCATGCTCTAACCCACTCAGCTATCCATGAACTGGGATTTATGAAATTTGTAATGTAAACTGCTCTTCACCCAAAGATCACAGGGTGGTTCACAGCACAAAAATACAAAATGAGAATACGAAATACATAATAAAACAGAAGCAAACACAACCCAGTAACGCCATCCCACAAACACATTTTAAAAGCCATTAAGGGGAAACAAAAGTGGATCTGTGCCAGGTGCCAAATGGGTGGGCCCCCTCCACCCTCCCTCAACTGGCTGGTAGTAAGAAAGCAAAAGGCTTGAGAGGGTTGCGTGATATGAGCTAGAATCTAGAAGAAAAGTGGCAGACTGGAGAGACAGAGAGAGAGAGAGAGAGAGAGAGAGAGAGATATTTCTGTTTGAATCTAAGGCTGTGCCTATAAACACCCTTTGGGGTGTTAATGCTGTGAACCCCTCCACTGCAAGCTCAAGTTGTATATATGTGTAAATAAACCATATCCTAAAGACACCACAATCTTGACTGTTCCATATTCCAAAGGAGACATGAACCTTGGGTAAGCACCTGGAACACCTGGAATCTTGCACCCCTCGGAGTTTGGGGTGGCATGTACTACAACAGTATATTCTCTCTCTCTTCAAAAAATATTTTTGAATTCTCAAGCACAGAATACTAATTTAGAGTTGGTTATCACATTATGAAGTCTAAATCACACTTCCTTGCCTTACTCTGTCTATAGCCTTGGGATTTACAGATAAGAAAGTAATTGAAGCAGAGGGGGTGGGGACTGACTTTTACTTTATTGCAAGAAAGGTTGATTTTGGCTCTCTCCACTAAGGGTTTGGGTTGCTTGTATGTTATTACCTGTTGGTTAGATTTTTTTTATTTTATTTTTTAAAAGGCGATTTTTAGGATTGTTTTGATTTATATGTTGTAATCTGCATTGAGGTTTTTTCCTTTGAAAAGTATAATACAAATTATTATTTAAAAAGTATTATCATTTATTATGTCATCTGTTTATATACTGTTTAATGACCGAAGTTTCTAAGTGGTGAACAGCAAAACTACAAACAATATAATAAACAATATATAATAAACAATATATAAATAGATGGAACATAGAAGCCAGACTGTTTTTAGGGTCTTTTATTTTTTTACTGGAGATAGCATTTCCATTTCCCCATCCTTTCTTCTGCTTCTTCTGTGACTATAGACCCAGATTTGAACTTAATATTTTTTAAATATAGAATGTTTTGAGGTGGAGAGTACAACTAAAGTGTTATAGCAATGATTTCTATTTAGCTGATTTTTTTAAAAGATCTCATTAAAAAGTGTTGCCTTTTCATTACTGTTTGACCTAAAGAATTACACTTGGTGGTTTGTGATTTCCAGATTCTCAAAGCTTACAAATCTCATTCAGCTTTGTACAGAAAGACTGACTAGTGATGGCTGATGCCAATTGGGATTGGTAGGGTGCAAGAGCTAAGAAAAACTTGCTTGATCTGGTCAGTGGCCCATCTAGTCCAACATTCTGTTCTCACAGTTTGACCAACCAGATGCCTATAGGAAGCCCACAAGACACAGAGACCAATAGCAGGCGAAGCCAGAGCCGATCAATTCTAGTTTCCTCCTCCTCCCTGTTGAGTTGTAGAAGGCCAACACTAAGACTAAGGAGGAAGCTAATAGGCAGATCCACTTCCTAGTTGTAAATAAGAAGTTAGGAAGATGGAAATTGGCTAGGGGTAGACTGAGGTTGCTGGGATGTCCCATTTTGCCTAAGGAACAAGTCTCCACTGTGACCAGGGCTCCCCCCCCCCCAAGCTGGAGTTCACTGGAGCTCAGCTCCAACACCTCTTAGGTGAGTGTCATTGCCATTCTAAGAAAACAAGGTGAGCTCTGGCACCACTTTTTCTAGAAAAATAGCACTGACTGTGACTGACACTATAACATTTCTGTTATACTTCTGTATATACTGTATATTCTGTTATACTTCTGTATAACAGTATATTCTGTTATACTGTTAAACTTCATGAGGGGCATTCCAAAGAGAGAGCTTTTTGGAAAATGGTGTTTGAAATTAAATCTCGTACATCTGAATGAAACATGCTCACTACTGTACAACAGTGATGGTGATTACAGTGTCTGGTGTTGTTGGTCAAGGTTGCTAGTGGAAGCACCATGGAAATAGTTTATGTAGATCTCCTGGAAATAATGACTATGGACTAGATTCAATTAAGTACTGTAGTTGAGCTAACAAGAGCCAAGGGCTACAGCTAGCACAACAGGACTTTCTTCCCCTCCTCCCCCCCCCCACGCACCACCACAGCCCCCCAAGTTGGCTCTGGGGGATCAAGAGAACTCTCAAAACATCACATAGGGAGAGGGTAGTAGGAGAGATTGTTCTGTCAGGCAGCTGTAAATGCTTGCGCTGACTGATTGCTTGAGCTAACACAACAATGAACTCCTCCCCTGATTTCTGACATTCAAGGGATACAATGCATACCTATTTTGAATATTTTCTATATCAATCTGCTTCGCAGTGCAGGATGTTTCTCAAATCAGTGAAAACCTTTGGGCTAGCTAAGCAGTCAATTTCTCTGCCAATGCAGAGAAAAATCAAGTTAAAAATAGATTGGAGAGGAATACAGCCTCACAAGAACAGCTGTATTTTCTAACATATTGGATCTCAAACCACTGAAAAGCTATATATCCATTTGCAAAGCTAATCTAGCATGTGTTCCTGCTCCACAAACCCACTCAAGTTCATGCAGTTGCCCTTCCTGCAATGTCAGCTGATGGATAACCAAACAGGTGCTCCGGCATACCATCCCGTCAATGTTGTTGCCACCCCCAGGTTTACCTTTTTATTTTCAGGCTGGATTAAGCAGCTGCTACAATCTCCTCTGTCCCACAGAGTTTGGAAGAGGCAAGAGGAGATGCAGGCAACAAAACAAAGTCATGAATGAACCATCCCATATTTGCTGGGACTCTCAAGCGGTGCTTCCCATAGGCATCTGATTGGCCACTGTGGGAACGGAGTTGGAATGGATGCCTATTTGGTCTGATCCAACCCACATCTTCTTATGCTATGAAGTTTGCAGTTTCTGAAGTTAAAACCTAGGAACTTGCTGCCTGAATGGCCACAAATGTATTGCAGAAGAAGGAATATGGGGTTGTATGCAGTAAAGAGCTGGCTAAAGTCCCATCAGTGCAAGAATTTTCCTTCTCCCCCTCTTCTCCCCAAGAGTGCCCTCTAAATCTGTTCTGGCAATTCCCCTCAACCCTCCAGAGCAGAAGTGGGGGTGCCTCAGGGCGCATGTGGGGAAAGTCCCTTTGCGCTCATGGAAATCCTTCAGCCAGCTTCCACTCAAGCAACAATTTAGTTGCATATGGCTCATGAACTCTAGATGGGAGTCTCTTACTTGGATGAAATCCCCATACTATCACTATTCATTTAACCTTTCCAGCTCTAATGGCCACAGACTGAACAGCAGAATTACAATCTCTTTCAATTTAGAAACCCAAAGTACAAATCATAGTCAAGTACCTCCAGATGAGTTTTCCAGCTGATGCATGCTATCAGATGAGAAGTATGACTTAACACAGCAACACACTGGTAGGCATTCTTTCTCTTTCAGTCTTTTCCCATCAACGAGCCTTCTCTCTCCCTTCCTCTATTTTCTTCCTCCTTACCATTCTCATTCCCTTCCAATTGCTCACCAAGAACTTTCCTTGTAGGTTTGATCCATTCTGCACATAGATAAAACTATGGAATTTGCTCCTGCAAGAGGCATTGACGGACACCCACTTGGATGAGTTTAAAAGACGCTCAGACAAATTCATGGAGCAGAGGGCCATCAGTGGCTACTAGGCACAATGGCTGTCTCCGTGATCAGAGGCAATATACTAGTGGCTGAAAAGGAGCTGTAGTGGGGGAGGGACACTCTTGTGCTCAGGTTCTGCTTTTGGGCTTCCCATAGGCATTGTGTTGGCCCCTGTGAGAGCAGGATAGTGGACTAGGTGGAGCTTTGGCCTGATTCACTATGCTCTTCTTATGTTCTTATCCAGCTCACAAAGACATGGCCATACACCTCTGCTTAAAAATGTACTGTTGGGAAGTCATACACTTAAAGCTCTTTTTCCATGCTGAAAAACAGCTAGAAAGTAAAAATGTGTGTGCCATCCACTGTTCTGGATATACTTTTTATTTTTAAAGTACAGTCATACCTTGGATCTCAAACACCTTGGGTTCCCGAACAAATTGGCTCCTGAAAGATCGAAACCCAGAAGTGAGTGTTCCAGTTTTCAAAGATTTTCGGAAGCTGAACGTTCGGCACGGCTTCTGCGGTTTCCAATTGGCTGCCAGACGCTCCTGCAGCTGGAAGCCGCACCTTGGTTTTCAAACAGTTTCAGGAGTCGAATGGACTCCCGGAACACATTCTGTTCGAGAACCAAGTTATGGCTGTATAGGCACTGTTTTCAGAAATCTGTCATAGCGGCACAGCATCCATAGATGTTCAGCAATTCTGAACTGGCCAAGCTGTTCTGCGTTTGCTGAACTTGATTATATTGACATATTTTTAGGGTTTCCAAAATGTGACCAAAGCAGACTTAATCTTTCATACAACAATACTGAGGATGAAATGCCTCTGAATGGCGCTTCTCATTGTGAAAATAAACTAAAATAACAAGTTAGCTGAAAGGGCGTGTGGAATCTGTGTTGATATATCAATTAGAAAAGATTGCCTGCATTTGAATTTTGGAGAAGTGACTATCACTGGGTGTTACGAACAGTGATAACAAATGGCAAGGTTGTATTTTTAGAGGAGAGAAGACTCTTTTCTTTAAGTCTTAATAAGCTTGGCCTATACCAGCTTTTTCTCATATCAGTCCAAGTGTCACATTTGGGTTGGGAGAAGCTTGTTAGCAGTAATTACCAGCAGTAGGTTCTATTATTTGCCAAAGTAATTTTCACTGCTAAGTACCACCAAAACTGCCTCAAGCCTTTAATTCCCCTCCCTCCCTCCCTCTCCTTCCTCTTGCCT